GTCAAGTGATATGCGATAGGTGACCGTTAAATTTAATAGAATTCAAATTTGAAATTTATTCACAAAATGCACCAAATGTTGCATCCTACAATCATATGCACAAGTTTAATATATAAATAAAGAAATTATAAAGCAAATTGTCTTCTTATAATCCTTCATGCTATTATGAAATTCTTTAATGTTTTATAGAAATAAATCTTAAAATAAATAGAATTTATAATGACTACTTGTGAGGAAATTTTGTGCAAGATGAATGGACTAGTTTGAAGGTGTTGGTTAGTGTTTTAGTTTGATTAGTGATGATCATTTTTACCTCCCAAAGTCCCTTTCCTCTCCTTTCTTCCTTAATCAATATTTTGGCACATATATTTAGGCCTTGTTTAGATAATTTTTTATCACTTTTTTTCTCTACTTTTAAAAAAATTTTGTACTAAAAAACTACTGTGAAAACTAGTCAAAAAAACTTAGTGTGGCCATCGAAAATAGCCATATTTTTTAGTCTTCTCATTCCATCCAATATATATCCTTTGTGTGGCTTCAACCTCTGCTATGTGATCAACAGAATCAGAACTTCTCCAATTATGATTTAGCTAAACAATTTTGAACTTTAGAAGAAAGATGTTTCTCCAAGAGGCAATGGAACTGGCTTTGTCATCATGCTTGAGAACAATAATTTCTGCTTTCTTATCCATTGAAAATCTCTATGAAAGCAATCAAAACAGTAGTGGCAACAGGAAAATCTAAAGATTATAAAAAATAATGAAAATTTTGGAGAGAAAGAATGAAACAAGAGTTTTTCATGCTTTCAAAGACACTGCATTTCAATCTCCAATATTTTTATTGAGAAATTTGATTTTATGTGTCTTATAATATCCAAAATTTATAAAGTATACTAGTTATTTATTTTCTTGGAGAAATATACTTAAATTTCGTTGGAGATCAAATTGTCCCTGCGAATATAGAAATAGGATTTGAAACCTTAAAAAAAAAATTCACACAATCTTTTGATCAAGAAACTGTGAGATCGATCTGCGACAAAGTTCCTTGACGGCAATGTATAATTTCCAGTCATCATCAACTCAAGGTTAGCAATATTATTCATTTTGTTACTTAGTTTGGAATTTGTCATTTGCACTTTAAACTATGAAAACAAAATAACATTAAACATCACATTACCTACTATGAATATATTCGAATAATCTTCAAACTTAGTCCAAAACTTGTACGGACTTACGAACTAGCTTCAAATAATGTTCAAACATGGTTCAAGTAAGATTCAAAGATTGTTCGAATAATGTTCGAAGATAGTCTAAGTATGATTTTAGTAATATTTAAATAAGATTAGAGTATGGTTCGAGCATAGTTCAAAGAATGTTTGAATATGGTTCAAGCAAAGTTCATATATATTTTGATCATGACTATAGTTCAAGCATGGTTTGAAGATAGTTGAAATAAGATTTGAACATGATTCAAGCAATATTTAATGATTGTTTGAGCATTGACCGAGCAATATTTGAATAAGGTTTGATCTTGCTTCTAACATTTTTCAAGCATGTTTCAAAAATGATTCAATCATCTTGCAAATATGATTTGAACCATTTTATTATACTCACATCATCTTTAATGGAATTAACTAATTTAAGTTATTTTGTTATTGATATATCCTCGAAAAATCATCTTGATCAGGCACGAATCTCGAGGCAAAATCAAGCCGGAAACTTCAAAAATTAAATATAGAATCACCTGAACTCCAATTTTAGCAAACTTATAGTCAAACTGAGCGTCTCGGAAATACGAACCCAACGACGCCAAATTCGACTCAATCCGAGCCCAAAAGAGTCCAAATCAAGGACCCGGAGCGCTATTGAAAAGTTCGAACCACAATTTAAGTTACCAAACGGTTTTCAAACATAAAGTTCTTATAGTCGAATCGAGCGGCTCGACGAGACGAATCCATCGAGCCCAAGACCGCCGAATTCCAACATCATTAAGACCTTCAAATGTTTGAAGAATGGTACATGATCAAGGGATTCAATATCGACCGTCCATCCAACCACTCAAATTTACCCTTGATCTCTCACATATTTACAGGTCATGCCACTCCAAAATATCTATAAATAGACCCCTCATTTTTCTTGAGAGGGGATCCAAGCAAGAAGAAGAAGAAGAGAAGAAGAAGAAGAGAAGGATATGAGGGAAGAAACTCCTCGACCACCGCCGGAATTCTGCCCGAGTGACTCCGGAATTTTGCCCGATGCCCAAGTGAAGCCGGAATTCTGCCCAAGTGACGCCGGAATTCTGCCCGACGCCAAAGTGACGCCGAAACTCTGCCCAATTTCCAAGTGCGCCGAAATTCTAAGTGACTCTGAATTCAACTCAAATACACAACTTATTTGTAATTGGATTTCAATCCGGAAGTGAAGCATTGTAATCTGATCGTCCTAAATTTTAAGGACGAATCAGCCTCTTGTACCTCAAGCAAACACTAGTGGAATTGTTTTAACTGGGCGTAGCCCCGTGATTTTTTCCCTTTCCAGGGTTTTCCACGTAAAAATCCTAATGTTATTATTTCTCCTCTGTTTGTGTGCTAAATATACGTACAACGCTGAGACGGAAGTTTTCTAACTCTATCGCCGCGTATATTTTAATCCGCAACAATTATGTATGCAAATTGATCATATATGCGTAGAGATTATATATAGAACTGGAGATAATGGTGAAAGGGATAAGACAATTTAAGGTTAATAATCTCATCGGTGAGGCTAAGAGATTTCCTTTTAGTCTATTTTAAAAAATCTCTTAAACTGCAATTCTTGGGGCCTTAATTGATTAAATTTTATTGACATTGGTTAATGATAATGAAAATGAAGGATACTCTATTCTATTCAGTATAGGATTGCAAATTTTTTCCTCATTAAGTTGGAATTTGGAGAATTTTCCTTTGAGGAATTCAACAAGACAAGCACATGGAATGTGCTATTAGAAAACTATTTAGTGGAGACAAATAATTCAAGAATACAAACATGATAGAAAACTATTTAGTGGAGACAAATAATTCAAGAATACAAACATGAAGAAAGTATCAAGGAGGGTAGTGGAGGGATAATGTATGGAAGTTAGGTTTATATCCCCTTATAGATATGTTCTACTAAATCATAATAAACAAAATTTTATTTTTACTAAGATGTTGGTTTGGTTGAAGATGAGAAAAGTCTTTTGAATATCTATTAAATATATTGAGTAGGTTATCATTGAAGGGGATTCTCTTCTTCTTTTTTTTTTTTTTTTCAACACAATGTTTTATGTTACTTAATAAGAGAGTAAAACTAGTGTTATTCAAAAATTTCGGGCTCAATAATTGTCGTGTTTGATGAAATTGTTTGATCAATATAGTAGAGAAACACCTTCAACATACAACAAGCTAAAAAGGAAGGATTATTTCCAAGTAGTCTAAATAAGCCCTAACATGCCATTGGAGAGGATGAAAAATTCTTTATATCATGGGCTAATGTAGAACTTATATATTTTTAATGAATTGAAACAAAGCATATTCGATGATATGTGAGATCTCAGTATCAACATAAATTATGATATTGTATGACATTTGACCACTCGTACATTCTAATGAAAACCTTCTAAGCAACAATGAGTTATTTGACAATAGGCAAGATCTTTTCCTCTCTAAAACTCATTGGAAGGGGCCATGGGTGGGTCAGGAGGATGGGGTTTACAAGTCTACCTTGAGATAAATTATTTGTAATTTTAATAAAAAAAAATTATGTAATATCTTATCACATCACATGTAGTCTAATGAGTGTACCTTGTTGCATTTTTAGTTGAGATTATGGAGTTTATATGATACACTACATAATCTATAAGACTATAAAGAATTTTTTTTTTTTTAGAAATTCCACCTAGTTTAATGAAAGAACTGGTTATATTTACAAATCAATCACTATCAAGATAAAGTTCATGAACATATAAATTGTTGTATATTATTGGTCATAGTTAATTAATATCGAAACACTTCAATTATTTCACTGCATTTAGGAGCTATTTGATTGGCTGAAAAAAAGATTGCATTATAAAGAAGGGATTTTTACATACATAACACTTCAAAATATTATAAATATATATTCAACACTCAAATTATTATATTTACTAATATACCATCTAAAATTCTTCTTTTAATCAATTCTAACATTCCGTTTAAATTCCGTCAAAAATCTCTATCCACCTCCATCGTCTTACGTTCCTTCGCGCGAACAAGTGTCTTCTTCCCCGTCAAAACCCGCATTCTCCACAGCGATCATGCGCGGAATCTTTTCAGTGGCGATGAAATAACAGAGTGCGAGATAGATATGGTTGCAGAACAATTTAACATGTTATTTTATTGGAATTGTCCTCTTGCACTTTGTCCGATCCCTTTCTATTCTCCGGCTTGCGACGCTATCTCTTCTCCTCCCTCTGGTTTTTCTTCTTGGCATATTCTGTACTGTATAAAGAGGGTCTGATGTCTTCTCCGAGCAAGCGGAGGGAGATGGACTTCATGAAACTGTGAATCTCTTAGATCTATTCCCTTTTTTTCACTGATCATAATAATAATTTTCTTAAAGCCGGCTATAAAATTTCTACATGAAATTTCCAGCAAAGAGTTTGTGTTGGCATTAGGAATTCAGTTATACGAACGATAATTTATCATTCCTCATAAATTTTAGTTAGCTGAAATTTGAATATTGCAATGAGCGCAAGTTGATTTCCGATTCATTTGTTTTGTGGTCTGTAACGTTATAAAAATATATTATATAGCTAATATATTTGTTCTTTTTCAATAAATCATAATATTCAACTAATCTGAAAATCGAATAACTTAGATTCTGTATGATAATTCATTCTTCTCTAACTAGTTTTGATATGCATTAAAATATTGTATCTTAACGGGCAGAGAAACAAGAAAAATAGACATAAATTTATTCAAATACCAATAACATTTAGGCCAATTAAGACAAATTCGCACAGAACACCACTCAAATTCAAGACCTCTTAATTGATAGTCAAAGCTCTCAACCAACAAATCAAGATGAGCCACATCATTACTATTTTAACTAGCAAAAACTGCGAGTTTTGTTTAACAAGTTCAAACATGCAGTCCTTGCTATCAAAAGATCTGATGAGAACCAATATCTGCTTTAAAGGGACAGTAATACCTAATTATATGAAGATTATACATCATGAAATGAATAGGGAAACTGCTTGGCTCAAAGAAATTTTCTCATATAGATTAGAATTACCAGTCATAAAACATTGATATGAAGCTAGTGATCTACAGAAGAACCAATTCCCAGCTGGAACTGAGAGGCTCGAACTGGCCTATGGGGCTTTGGAGCTGCAGACAAAAGAAAGTAAATATTAAGATTTGTTAAGATATGCAAAACATGCCATAGACAGGACTCAGACATTCCTTTAGATTTTGTGAATGATATAAAGTAGATATTGAAAAACAAAATGATGAAAATCTCACTTATAATACTTGCTCTTGTATCAAAAAGTATATTTAAATAAAAGTGATCCAGAGTTTCTTCACAGTAGCACCAGAGCAGAAAACAAATGACACCACCATTCAGAAAGGCTTGAAGAATAAGCAAAAACATTCCAATTTAATACGATCACACAAGAACTGAGTATTGTATGAGATCTAACATTTATTTAAGAAAGGTGCAAACTATCTGTCAAAAATTTTGTTGAGATCTTTAAGGTTTCGTTTGGGACAAATTTTTTGTTAGTATTTTTTTTGTGCTTTTAAAATATTATATTATAAAACTATTTTAAAAAATGGTAAGAAAATGGTCCCAAATGAAACTAAAAATTACACAAAAACAATGCTCCACTTTTCCACCAGCTAACCATGGAATCAAAATGGGAATGAAATGGTCCTTTCATGAGATTTGACGAAGAATCCCCTGTAGAATTTTTTGACTTATTTACCCTTTCTCTTTGTTTAAGAGAGGAAAAATATTTCAACCCATGAAAAAAAAAATACTGATCAGCTATTTTCAAAATGGCACCTAATGGTAGGAATTGATTATGGAGATAAATTTATTAAGAGAAGATTGACGGCCATGCAAGTTGATAAATTTGCATATTTTTGTCTGACATTTTTTTTGTAAAAATCAAGATCGATGGCTGTTGGTTTTGTTGCTTGAAAACAAAGAAGACGAAGGGGATGAAGGGGACCTATGAGCTCATTCCATCGCTTGGGGTACCAGTCACTACCACAAGAGGAAAGGGGCTTCGCTCCTATAAATTAGCATGAGAAAGAGGGGTACTCAGCAAGAGACCGAGAGAAAGAGAAAGAGATTTAAATGATAATTTTAAAACTAAGACTTCAATTAAACTTACGACAAAATAAATTAATGAATATATATATATATGAATAATAAAAACTAATTAATTATGATAATTTTTAAATGAAAGAATATGTACATATAATTTAAAGAATAAAAATTTATTTTAAAATAACATAACAAGAAATTTTATTTTAGACAAATAGTAGTAATTGATTTATGATCTTAGAGAAAGAGATATTACTAGATGTATAAATTAGGATAATCTTACAAAATTATGCATGATTATAGGTGCTAAACTGTGAGAGTAAAAAAAGGATTAAAAAGGGACAAAAAGCTAGTCAACTAAATTTATGGTGGGTACTCATTTCTACTTGATGGTAATTATATTGTTTTCTCTAAAACCATTTTATTGACTCAACTACAATTAATCTTTTTCTATTTCAATTGAAAATAGTGATAGTTAGCATGATATTTCATTACATATATCATAGAAAGTTTTTGAATGATCTATGAATGAAATAACTAGATAGAAATACTTATATGTACATGCTGCTTGATGAAATACATCCCCTTACAATACTGGCAAGGGGACATAATATACATGCACAAGCAAAATAAAATGGAAAAGATTTTGAAAAATGTCATGGAAACGCAAATGATAATGGAAATACATTAATTGATAATATTTAGATGATGTCTCCTGTGATGATTATATTAATTACAGAAAATGCTAAAGATGATATATGAGTTATATATATGCATAAGATATGATAGATAGTCATTTTCAAATAAAAATATAATTAAATAAAATTAATTTATATTTTACAGTAAGCATGCATATTTTTCTAAATATTTTGTATTATTATAATTTAGAAGAATGATTTGCTCCCTGAGTTAATTTATGACTCACCTCAATATTTACAAACATACACAAGAATCATTTTAAGAATTTAAATGAGTAAAAGAGAAAAGAACATGCATAGTAGATGTGATGAACCAAGAGAAATGTATTGATATTTTATTATAAGATATTTTATTTTAAAAATAAATATGATATTTTAGCAACTTTTTCAATATATTAGAAATAGTTATTCTTAGAAATCTTGAGTAAGAAAAAATTTTACTAACCATCCGACCATCTGTTCCCGTCTCTTTAATTCGAGACTTCAGACTAGGTCATCACAATTTTCTTCACGAGAAGCAATGGGCATGATATTTTCAAAAGTGCATGCTCTAAACATATGATTGCGGACAATTTGAGTTAAACTATGATCAACTCAAAAATATTCAGCAAAATTGTCATCATAGAATAGTGAGAGGGATGGTAACATGACATCCATGTTTCTACATTTTGCAACTATGACGCTAAAAGGAAGAAAGTTACAGAATTATCTAGAGTTTAACCTTAAAAGTGAATTTCTATCCGGCTATAAGATCTTAAAAAATAAGAGCAAAGAATTCACATAGGATTATTTGGCTAAAATAATATGAAATTATAGGAGTTTTAAATTTCAATGTAAAATAAATACATGTATTTTAAAATATATAAATTATTTGATCAGATGTAAATCAAAGATAATGAATTTTTTTAATGATGCATCTCAAGTACATACATTTTAGAAATACGACCGGAATAGGCGCTAGTGGATGAAAACAGTGGATGGCAGTGGGTGATGGAGGTTGGCAACGACAATTAGTTGTGCACGGCCGACAAAGAGTAGTGGTGGTCACAAATGGGTGAGGTGACAAGGTGTATTTGAAAATCATCTTAAATGGGAGATTTTAGAATACACCAAAAATCAACTAAGGTGATATTTGATTTAAAGTAAAATGGGTGTAAAGTATTCCAAATGCAGGGATTCTAAAAATATTGATGTTTGGTTTTATGTATACAAAAAGTAATATAATATTTTGAAGTATTTGAAATTAATCATCTAGTATAATTTTGGTGTATTTAAAAATCTTTAAATTCAGCTAATTTTCAAAAAAACTATGAATTCTATGCTATTATATCTAGCATTACCACCTAACATGGCTGCACTGTCGCCTGTTACCTGCTGCTGCTCTCAATCTGTAGTCCTCACCAGCACCGCCGACAATCACAAGCCATAGGCCACCACATCGTTGAGCTTTACACTACATTCATTTTATTTCAAGCCAAACAAAAAATAACCACTTATATTTATTTTACACTTATCCAAATAACTCAATATATTTCAAATACATTGCATTCTTTTAACACAACATTCCTTTTTTCAACAAATCAAACACCTTCGAAAGAGGAATTCCAAATACATCAGTAAATTACTTGATTTTGTTTTTCATCCAACTAAGCACCTAAATTTTCAAAATTTTCACATTCCTTTTATCTCACACTCAAAATACTTCAAACCAACCAGCCTCATAGCCATCATTGTAAAATAGAATGATGTCAGAATAGCAGTGTACTGAAACATTATGATCAGAAAATTGACAAATTCTCCTAGAATGCAGAATACCTAATTATGTTCACTTAGTGCAATTTTCCTTAATATAATGGCCGACTAAACTAATTTTCTTCAAGCTGCTTCATAATAAAAAATAAAATAAAAGTAATGTTCAAAATTAGCTAGACACACTGTTCAAACTATATGTTTCAATATTTTCCTCGATGAACAATTTAATTATTTTATGAATAAAGTAAATTCAGCTAAATGAACAACATACCATTAGGATTCCCTTGTTCATAAAAACTACGTAGAAGAGCTACAGCTTCTGCTGAAAGGATCCCTCCAGTGCATTTGAAGGCCCGTGCTTTAGAAGAGGAGCTGCTATCAGACCAAGAGACTAGGTTAACAAGGTCAAGATCACGATAGCGTGCAATTTTTAAGTCTCTAGATGCGGCTGTTAGGTTACATGAAAATTTCTCCATATTGAGGACAGAGGAAAGGCAAACTAAAATAGTAATTCTTTGTTAAGGAAATAAATAAATAAGTCAACTATTTATTGATTGCACTTTCAATTTTGCAAAATATATTGCACAAATTTGCGCTACAAAAGGTTCACCAATACAAAGAATATGAAATCTCTTATTATCTATGAGAAAGTCGGCACTCTGAATGCTCCCATCAAAGTCAAAATTTTGTTGAGATAAATAGTCATCATTATGATCAGATGTAAGATAAAATTGAAGTGCTTCAAGAACTTGAGGAATATTCTTGAAGATAATATCAATAGATGAAGCATCAAAGGGTTAGTAGTGGCAAGAACACCAGACACTATCTCTACAAGAAAAATATTGAATATGGCTCTAAGGTTGAGAGCAAATGTAAATCGATGAGGATAGATCTTCTACAAAAGGGTAGTGGATCTTTCTGAACATTAGATGGAAGGTCCTATTTCTGAAATTTAGGATTCCTTAGCTCAAGATGAGCCTTAAAACATTCAAAGAATTTATGCATAAAAATCTGACAAGATAAGTAGCTTGGTGGGATGTTTTCAAATTCCACCTTCTGCTAGTATCCAACTGAGTAGGACTCAACACAGCTCCCATATGAAAGAGGGTAGTAACATCCAATTCTACCAAGTCTATGGCCACAGAAATCATAGCAAAACGTACTGCCGCAACATCAACCCGTAAAAGCTTCCCAAAAATAGGAGCCAAGGGTAATAACGTACTCAGGTTAAAGTAGCATAGTCAAAGTCAAGGAGAAACGCTGCAAGTGGAAATGCAAGCAGAATCACGCCATGGGCTGGCCGCGCACATGCACGGGGGGTTTCGAAGGAGTTCGAATTGCTGTTTTAAGTGGATAATTGCGTGAGGGAGTGAAAAAGAGCGACTCCTCGAGCGAGATATCTTCGTTTCACTTATCAAATTAAGCCAAACGAACAAAAAAGCGAATAGAGGCCAGCCGAGAGGAAGAGGAAGGAGAAGGAAGGTAAGTTTGCGCATTTCCTCATTTTGTTAATATATGTTTCTGAGATTTAAATTTAAAAGGTTATGTTTCAATTGAGCGCATAGGAAGGAATTTGGAAGAATTTGTGTTGGAAATTTCTTCTTTGTAAGTGATTTTGATTTCCTATTTCTTGTTTAAATTTAGAGAATAAAATAAATAAAATTTATTCTTTTATGGAACGCAACATTATGCAATTTTTTATAGGAAGGAAATTAATTTGGTGAAAGTTGATTTCAACAAGGAAGAAGCAAATTTAAGGTAAGGAAATAATCCAAATGAGATAATTGAAATTTTCAATCTTCTTTAGGAAATTATATGTGCTTAGGAATTATATGTGCAATGTAATTGGAGATAAGAGTTTGAGAAATAAGAAGCGTGCAATGTTATATATTATGAGATGATGTTCCATGTATTTGAAATTACCCTTAGTGCAGTCAAATAAATTCAATGTTGTTATGAAGACATTTAATTTTTGTAAAACTATTCAATGATAATTAATGAAATTAAGTGATATTTGAACAGTGAAATATTTTCATATTGAGATGAGTATTGGAGGTATAATTCAGATAATTGAAGATTTGAAATGATTTGAATGTGAAAGAGAATAAAGTAGGTAATTATTGTTATTTACATTATTTTATTTTATTTCAAATCTTAAATACAGTATTTTTTTTTAATTAATTAAACATTATGATTAAAAGTTATCATATTCATAATGATGAAAGCTAGACATTAAAGTTATAAAGTAATATAAGCATAAATATGTATATGTGAATGATGCATATGTTTAAACATTCATGAAACGAATAAGGAAATTATAACATACAAATGGAAAGTATTAAAAGGAAAAGGAAAAAGTCCATGCATGCAAATTACAGTAGTTCAATCTCGTATGATACTGGCTAAGAAAGCAATCTACACATGCAAGTTAAATGGAAAAGAAAATTGTTGTACATTTATTGGTACATTTAGACGGTGCTTATGTACTAATTGAACTTGAAAAGAAATAAAAGTTAAATGGAAATGAAATAAGTTATGTAATTATATATAAAAGATTTTGCATATATTAATTGTGAAAGAAAGGCAAAGGAACATGCATATTTTATTTTATAAGCTTGGTGATTATTTACTAAGTTTATCATGTAAACTCAAACTGTTAAACTAAATTTTTTAGATAAGTCTCATGATAAGTAAAATTGGCTAAAATAAAGAAATTTGTATATAGGAGAAGGTGCTCGAATGATAACAAGAAAAAATTTGGTTTGTGTTCATGAACAACTATATAACTTGTTATTGGCTCTTCAGTGTTTGTAAAATGTTAGTCATTATTGTTATGTGTAATTGTAGAAAATGAATTAACCATCCGACTCTCAATTTCCACCTCGTTAATTCGAGTCTACGGGTTGTGTCATGAGTCATGACAAATGAGATCCAAATAGAGGTGAAAGGGGGTTTCATAGAGCAATCAAAATAGGGAGATCATTTAAGCATGATTGGGATACCACTAATATAGTATGTACCTTGTCTAATGATGACAAAGAGTCCAATAGACAAGATCTCGCAAATTACCTCATTTTTTGGATGACCCATTGAAAATTTGTCAATAATTGAGAGAGCAAGAGGCCAAGTCAATGTAGAAATATCCTCATAAAAAAAGAGCGCATGTTTGCCTTGAATGGAAGAAGGTTGTTTGTGTTATTGGGTTGTTGAATTCTGTTGAAATAAAAATGGAGAGTTGTTGGATAGAGAGTGGTGTGCCAGCAACTTTTGAAACATGAATAGTATTTGCAAAAGAGCATAATAGTTGTAGTGAAGGCGCAACCATTGTGCGGGATACTAGAGAAGCCTTCAGAGAGTCATACCTCGTGGGGAGGGAGTAGTGAACTCACTCGGGAACAACCAAAATCTTTGAAGATAAAATTGAGGGAGAAGGGATCTGAAGAGACTGATGAAATAGAGATTCTCAAGATACCCCATTAGTGACCAATGGAAGAGACCGAGAATGATAACAAGACCGAGAGAAAGAAACTGGCAAGAAAATAGAATTAGACAACATTACGGGCTACCTAAAGAATTGAAGCGACCAAGAGCAACAAGATGTTGACGCCATGAGGAGGTGACGACATCAAAGATAACCTATGGTCCCAGCAATAGGCCCTAGATCAAGCTCCCGAAGCAACCTCAAGGAGAGGACACATGGGGAAGAGGCATGTTAAAGGTCACACGAGAAACTACCATGCAGTACACATGCAAGACACATTCTGGAAGCCGAACGAGATGAATGCGCTCATGCACTCCAAAACATTAGGGATGCCAATTGGGAGAGGCACGTCCAAGCACAAATGTCATTTGCAAGAGACGCAAAAGCAATATGATGATATTTTTTAGGTCAGCTCATTGCACCCTATACTCACAAAATCCTAAAGAATAAACCATAAAAAAGAGTAACTTTTCTACAATGCCATTCTTCATAGAAAAAGAGGGGCATAAATGTTATAAGGAATAGTGAACTAACTAAAAGGCCAAGAGAATTTGATGGAAAGAAAATAAAAGATTTTAAAAAGAAAAATCTTAGATCAACAAATCATTTGAATTTATTTCAACGTTCTACTTTCTTAAAAAGGTTATTGTTTTGCCAATAAAAAAAACAGCTGGAAATTATATTTCCTTTCAAAGTTCAAAGGCTTACTAAAAGAAAATCGAACTAAACAGGAAATTTTATATCTCCTTAGCTTCATTTTACTTGAATTTTTCGTTTTACATGCCAGCATACCTAATTTTATCTTTAAAGTATTTATAATAATAAAAAGTATAAGGTTTTGAAGCAAAATATAAATTACCATTAGAAATATAAAATGGCACCAAAAGTGTATCAGGTCCTGTTGGCTAAAGAAAAACAGCACGTCGGCATGAATCTCATTTGCAGACATAGGATTCTATTTCTTTTTAAGTCATATTGTACTTAACTAGATTTTCCCTGATGGTAGTGTCTGGATTTGGGTCCTTATTTCTCATGAGTGCAAGCACTCATAGTTAATTACTCCTCTTAATAGGTAAGAGAGAACTCTCAAATAAGGGGAATAAATTTCAGGTGTTTTAGTCTCAATTGTAGGGAAAAATGAAAGTAAACCCGATCAAGATCTCATGGTTCTATCATCCCAGGTATACCTTAGGTTTCAATCTACCAATACTAACAATCATTAATCGTAGTGTCCAGAGAATTTGATTAGCAGTCATGAGTTGCATCCATTCAGGGATCCCATGTGAACTTAGGTAACGGTTATATGTGATTTTTTAGTTTTATTGGATTTTGTGGTTTACATCTATTAGAATACCCAAAAGTTAGTATTGGTTTGGGATTTGTAACTTTGTTTAGAAGTTACCCAGAAATTTGAATTGAAGCAGTCTTACAACTTCTTTTATAAGTAGTCTGGGTATTTGAATTTAGGTCGGGACTAACGGCTTTCATTAAAAGTGGCCTAAAAAGTGGGTCTTATGGCTTCTATTAGAAGTAGCCCACTGGTGGTTCATGCAACCTAGTCCTATAGGCTACGCTACCTATTAATTTGAATTTGATTGTTTGGGTTTTAGTCTTTTAGGGTTATTACAATTTATTTAATAATTTTTCTAAAATGTGGGACTTACGACTTCACTTAGAAGTTGTCCGGTAGTAGGTTTTACAACCTAGCCCTACAGGCTAAGCTGCCCAAATTATTTTTGGTTAAAAGGTCTTACGACTCCCTTAGAAGTTGTCTATAGGTTTAATTTAGAGTGAGACTTACGACTCTATATAGGAGTTGCCTGTTAGCGAGTTTTACAACCTAGCTCCATAGTAAGACTGTTCAATGATTTAATTATTTATGTAGGTATTATAGCTTCCCTTTGGAAGTTGTCTAAATGTGGATCTTATAACCTAATCCCTTAAATTAATATGCTCGTTAATTTTGTTTGTTTGTTTGAGTGGACAGCAATTGTTTGTTAGCTTGACACTAAACTGTAATTTTCAATTGTTTACTAGCTCAACATATACGGTTAGTAGTTGTTGTGTAACAATAACACTTTGTTCTTTTTCTTTTCAGTGTCTTAGACTTTACCAGTAATTATTTTACCAGTAGCATATTCTACTTTCATTAGTATATTCTACCTTCTGTTTGTAACTTAGCGTAGCACATGTTGACTAATGGAAATTGATCTTTTTTTGCTTTTTTATATTATTTAAACAAAACCCTCACCTATTAAAATGGCTCTCCACATTAAATAATTAACTGATTAATTTATTTAATTAACCAATTAATTATTTAAAATTTTATCGCTCTTGAATTTTATTTTTTTGCTCTCGAACTTTTAATTAACAAATTGATTAATTTTTCTTTCAGATTAATTAATTAACCAATTCATTAAAGTTAACTAGTTAATTCTAATTAATTAATTTTAATAAAAAACAAAATTAATTAATTATTTTTAATTAATTTCAATTTACTAATTACTTTTGATTAATTAATCTTCATTAATTATTTTTTATTAAAATTTAATCAATTGATTAATAAAAATACAAATTGCTCCCCAATTGCTCCAATAGAGAAATTCCCTAGTCGCCCGAGGAATTTTGGCATCCTCCCACCGTCCCCTCCCCTCGCGGGCAGGTCGGGATAACACTTGCCTATAATTTCTTCCCGGCCGGACCTAAGGCGTACGATGCAAGGTCTTCAATTTCGTCTCAACCGGATCTAAGATCGACGGCACGAGGGCTTCATTTGAAATTTTTCTTGACCAGATTTAAAATCAACGGTGCGAGGTCTCAAATTTAAAATTATTCCGACCGGATTTAAAATCAACGGCGCGAAGTCTTCGATTTGGATTTAGCAAATGTTTGATTGTTGTATTGTTTTAGTAATCATACAAAAAAATGGTTTTTTGTTATTGGCAGTCATTAATATATGAATTGAGAAGAATACAAACAGTTTTAAATATTGTCTGTAAATCAGCAGCAAAAATAAATCATGCAAGCCTACTATTCCATCGAAGTAGTTGGTAGAAGCAATTTGGCACAAGTTTAAGCATAAATAAGGTAGCTTCACACAGAGAAGGCTCACAAATAGAAATTCACGCATGCTGAGGGCTGATCGGAGGGAAGCAAGTCATGTGAGAGGGGCTCGGACGGATACGGAGCGAACAACGATGTGAAGAAAGCTGCAGAACCTAGTCACAGTTTTGGTGTGCAAACAGGGGTTGTTTTATGTGGGCTGCAGTACGTGGGTTGGAGTGCCTCAGTCGTAGGTAGGGCACAAGGGAGGCAAAGGCTTGAGGCGAGGGTGCAAAGGCCGATCGGCGGGTTTGGAAGCACAAGGGAGGCTAGGCAGACTGGTGTTCGATCGATAGTGGGGAAGAAGGTGGAGGCCACACTCGCGCTTGGACACACGTGAATCGGACAGTTTCAGATGTTGGAGAAGTGTAAGAGATACAAGACTTCAAAACTGAAATAAGCATGAGCCCTCTTCCTCTATTTTCTTGTATATTTATGGATCAATTTCGTGTATTATGTCGAATGGAAGTGTCGTTTTTGAAACAACTCTTCTGTTCAGTTGAAAACTACTTTTAGAAGCAGCATTCATTCATTTCCAATTTCCCTCCTCTTTCTTCTTCTTTTTATTTTAAATTAATCAACAGGTCCAACCATGCCAATTCAAGTATTTTAATATCAAAAAATAATTATATGGTGATATTTAACCAAAAATTTAATCAGGATGAATTTAAAAACCCTTTAATTTAGTTCAAGATAAGTTTAATAGAAGAGTTGATTGACTATAAATGTATATCAATGTATTGCACTCATATCAAAATAAATTAAGAATTTTAGAACTCATTCTAACCAAACTTTGCTCAATATTTCCTGAACTATTTTTTCTTCATTAAAATCATTCAAAGAATGAGTAAATATATTGAGTCAATATTCAACGATTGAATCAGTTTATATGAAAAATATAGCTCATAGCCATGAAAAAACAAAATAAAAATCAAATAATAGTATAGATTTGGCAGTTATAAGGATAAAATTAAGAAGTTAATTAGCAGACATACCTAGAAAATTCAAGCGAAGCGCCTTCATGCAAAGGCAAGATAGAACCACATCCTCCGAATTTATCATTAGCACAACCATAATAAACTTCCCTAATACCTATTAAATGAGAAGTTATTTAAACTAAAAATGCTTAATCAGAAAACAGATGAGTAATTAAATACGCTAGACTCACCAATAATGGACAATGCTGCTGCACACATTATACACGGTTCACATGTCACATAGAGATCACATGTGGAAAATCTCTTTGCAACTTGTTCGAAATCCAGCCCTTCCATCTGCCATTGCTCCATCAGTATATCAATGGCTTCCATTTCTGCATGCCTGGTTGCCTAATCCGATTAAGCAATAAGAGAAAAAGGTTCTGCAAAAGGAATTCAAGAAGAAGACATGCAATGTATATAGACAAATAATTATCCTAAGACATTTCTGTTTGTTGAATTGATTCATAAATAACACTTATTAAAACTATAGAAAAGATCATGACACAATTATATCAACACATGCAAGAATCAAAGCAAACGGCAAACTCGACATTCATCATCATAAAAGATGTTTGATGCCACTATCACTGCTTCCTTTTTGAGTTGAACATCTATCTTCCCGGTGTTATTATAAGATCACATTATAGACCCCCACCGCAACATAATCTTTCTTACAAGTCAAAAAGAATATAGGGGGTGTAGAGCAATTTTTGGACTCTTATGGTAAAATCAAGAGCAATTTTAACTAGACTTCTATAATAAACAACCAAGATTTAACTTGGATGAATTTGGTTTTCAAATCGAGCAGATTGATATGGAAATCCCTAGTTCCCTTCTGTGACTGCACTACTCATGCGCCAACATCAATTAATGGGGGGTTGTTTGGGCTGATATTTCCCAACTAAAAGTCTTCCTTGATGCATCAAAGGCCTTGAAAGAAATTACATCTACGAAATTGTAAAATTGACACCTTTTGTCACACATGAAGGAAAGATATTTGAATGAACAACACCAGAACAGAAAGCCCTCTAGAAAAAAGAAAAAACGAGAAAATGAACTTTGGCACACAAAAAAAACAGAAGAAAAACTGTACATTTCAATAAAATACTAAGAACCCCATATACTGAACTTATAAACCACGTCTAGAAAATGCTCGTCACTCAACAAACCCAATCAATTAGCTAGACAATAGCTGTTTGCCAGCAACTATTGCACTAGCATTGGCAACAGTAGCTGCACTAGCACTGCAAGTCACATAAAATGTGGGAAAAGAAAAAAAATATGTACACTGTTTGAATTTAAATGTTCAATTTCACCCAAAAAAATTAATGGAGAAATCCCTTCCATTTGGATTTACAGAAAAAAAAGGAACACTTTTTATCACAAAAGACACCACAAAGCATTACATAGAAATGTCAACTGTTAAACTTGCCAAACAAAGTCATGTTATATAAATTAACAAATCATTTAAGTGTTATACCGGTCCATTGGACCAGCCCAGCCGGTCCCGTGAACTCTTCCGCCTCTCCTGTATACCACTAGAAACTGCAGAGTCCAAGGGAACTTTTTGAGAAGGATTTTTAGAAGAGTTATGAGGGAAATTTGAATGTAAGGATTGTTTAGAGATTTCCTTTTGGATTGTATGTATTAAATAGTTGGTTTTCCTAGGATTAGGGCATCTTGAATTTGGCTGAAATTTGAGATCTCATAGGTTTTCTTTGGGCTCTAGCGACGTCTAGAGATTTGGGAGAGATCGATTCTCCTCTCGAATAGAGGATCAGTTATGGCATTTGAAGCTGCAGTTCACAAATTTCAGCAGGTTACTTATTGGACATGGTTTGAAAAGGCAAAGCTAATCCCTCGGGTTGAAGGATTTTGGTGGAGATTATTCAATAAAGCTATCCAATGTAAGATTTTCTTTGTTATAGAAGATTGAAAATGCATAATGGTTGTCCAAGAAATTGTAATATACAAGAAGACGTTGAACATGTGATAATAAAATGAAAAAAGCTGGAATGTATATTCCAACAATATAACAAGTGGGGTTTTGGATTTCATATATTCAGTTCGTTGGATGATTTCTTGAAATGAATTTCTCTAACAAATTATTGGATAATCAACTTGTTTTGTAATGTAATATATTTTTCATGGAAGGGAAGAAAAAAACTTGTTCACGAAGGAAAAGATGACTCTCCACTATTCATTACGTCCGTAGCTCTCAGCTATGCTTCAATTCTAGCAAATAAATTTTCTTATAAATCTGGTAAATGGGTTGCTAATCAGCATCATAAGCTGTTGGATAATCATTGGCATCCCCCTCCACCCGACTGGATAAAGGTAAATGTTGATGCATCTTTACTTAAATCATATAAAGCAGGGATTGGTGGAGTATTTCAGAACTACAAAGGTAGATTCCTTTTGGCTTTTGGGCACTCTCATGTACATTGGGATATATCAAGACTTGAACTATTTGCTATTCAATCAATCAAAGATGTAGTCAAAGATTGGATGCTAAATTACAAGGGGATTGTTAAGATAGTTGCTATTTGCATGCTTTACATTTTTGCAACTTATGAAGTTTTGATGATTCCAAACATTATTGTTCAAATGTGTAGTTATCTCCTAACATTTTTTAGAAGAATTGTATTTGCTCTTGTGTGTACTAACATTTCAGGAAAAACGA